TAGCAAGGACTCAGACCTGTTCCAAGTCACCAGAGTTTGTTAATCCCTCCTGGGACATCATGCTGATCCACACTAGAAAACACTCAGTACTGATGGATGGGCTGAGACCCCACCCGAGGGCTTCTCCCTTGTTGACCTAACTGAGGTGTACCCCTGCCTGATTCTGGGATGTCCCCTCAGCTTGTTTTGCCGGGAGTCTTCTTTCCTATGCTCCCCCTGGGGTGATCAGAACTGGTGTGAGCTGTTGCCTTTGTTTCACAGGCAGACGATCAGCCTCCTGGCTGGAGCGTGGATATGTGCTCATCTCCTGTATTTGTCCAGTTTGGCAGTTATTTCTGAAATCTGACTCTTAGTACCATGGGGATGACCTTTGATCTACTTCCCAGCATTCACCTGCACTTATTCTTCCCCCAGAAGCTTATTCAAGGAGTGGATGGCATAGGTAGACACTCTGGGCTTGGTTGGGCCATGCTGATTAAGCATCCTTTAATTAATTTTTATTGGCATGGTCTTACAAAAGGTAAGAGCTGTGAAAAAAAATTTTTTAATGGTCAATGCTTTACTCTTGACAGAGGATACTTTTAGGACTGGAAAGTTGCTGTGTTTGTCTAAAGATTGCTTTAAGATAGCCCGAGGGCTCTGGAGTATGCAGTATTTCTGGGCCAAGAAAGGCTGTCTGTTTACTCAAGCAGAGACAGTCCAGAGGAGATGTGAAGAAGCAACTGGGCAGCTGGGTTGTCACATGAGCACTGCTTCTGATCTCTCCAGCCTGCTGTAGGGAAGTGGAAGGAGGGAAACATTAGAAGCACATGAGGTTTTATAGTGATGTCTTTTAACACTGCAGGAATCCCGCACACAGTAGGTCTTAAGGCCGAAGGGGAAACTGGAAAGGGGCATTCCAAGGCATGTAGGAAATGCAACAAAGGCAAGAGTTTTTGTGGAAGTGGCTACCAGACTGAATAGATATAAGCTGTGTTTCATATATTAGCAAGCAATCTAGACTGCCTCTTCCATGTTAGGTGCAAATCTAGGCATCAGATCTAGGCTCAGTTGTTCTAGAGCATGATGGAGCATGGCAATATGGCAGAGATCATAAGGCAACTTTCCCCACTGTGTGGCAAAACTGAGTTGAGCACGGTCATACATGCCTTTAATCCCAACACTCAGGGGGCAGAGGCAGATGGATCTCTGGGAGTTCCAGGCCAGTCAGAGCAACACAGAGAGGCCCTGTCTCTAAAATAAAAAAGAGCATCCAGGTTCAAATTCACCACATCCACAGAGTTTTGAGACCTCTGGCAAGTGGCTTAACCTCTCTATTTATCTGGGTATTTATCTACCAGGATTAAATTAAATGTGTAGAACAGTTAAGAAGACATATCTAATAATGCATTTGCTATTTTCCATCATAGCAGGATGTTCTCTAAGTGGCAGGTGTTATTACTATAGGGGGGAGGGCAAACTTCCAATCAGAAGACCTGGACAAGGCCTTCAGTCCCCATTTCTTCTCTAGAAAACTTTTTTTTTAAGATTTATTTATTATGTATACAGTGTTCTGTTGGCCAGAAGGCACCAGATCTCATTACAGATGGTTGTGAGCCACCATGTAGTTGCTGGGAAATGAACTCAGGACCTCTGGAAGAACAGATAGTGCTCTTAACCTCTGAGTCAGCTCTCCAACCCTAGAAAACATTTTTTACTGTCTGTTTAGTAAATAGGGATTCTGCAAGAGTCACAGGGGTGTCTTTGAAAAGCTTGTATACCATTTATATGGATTGTTCTGTTGCTTTTATTTTATGATGATGACAATAACAACAATTACTCTTATTTTGATAGAGGCGAGGGTTAAACCCACGCCAGCCTGTGCACCATCACTGAGCTATGATCCTGCCCTGATGCTTTTCTTTGAATTCTGACCAGACCGGTTTCTGCTATGAGAACCTTGCTGTGCCAGCAGAAAAGCTGGGCTGATGAAAGAAGAAAGGCCTGACCCTTTGTTTCCTCCAGAGATGGCCTTGTTCATCCACTTTGCCTTTAGCTAGAACAGAGATCTGCGGTCAGCCTCCTTTTCCCTTTGTCAGTTGTGTCTGCCTGAGCCATTAGATGAACTGATGTATTTCCAGAGTTACTTGAAAGAAACCTTGATCAAGGAACACGAGGTAGGGGATTTATCTGCCAATTATTTGTAGAGTGTTCGGCACTGACACCGTAGTAACGAGAAGGGAGCTGGCGGCAGGTGTTAAAGGTTGACACTTGCATGACAGACAAGCAAGAACTAGGTAGTGATTTTAAAAATTCAAGACTCTGGAGCTGGATAGATGGTTCAGAAGTTAAGAGTGCTCTTCCAGAGGACCTGAGATTAGTCCTTAGCAACCATATTGGGTGGCTCACAACTGCCTGTAACTCCAGCTCTAGGGGAATCAGATACCACCGTGGGCACCTATATACATATGCACACAGACAGATACAGACCCACCACGCACACACAATTAAAAGTAATAAAAGAAATCTTTAAAAGTTCAAGACCCTGATACAAAAATGTCACTCCTTTTGAACTGTGATTCTTGAGTTATCATAGGAAAACATTCATGCAGGCCTGGAGATACTGAATGGATGAGAAGCCTTCCTCTAAAGATTATAGAGTTTGAAATTCAAGTGATCCAAGGATGCAGTATCTTTCTACTGCCCCAGGGATGGCTGCTCCCTGAGTGCTCAACTGGGAGGCTGAGCCCTGCAGGCAGGGTAGGGGACTCTGTTAATGCCCAGCCCTGCAGCAAGGACTTCTCCTAAGGTGAGGACCACAGTGCAGCTTTCCCTGCCTCCTTCTTCACTTCCTTGTTGAGGTAGCCAGGAAAAGAAATGTCCTGTCCCAGCGCTGGAATCAGAGAGAAGCAGGTCCACTTGGGTCTCTGTATTTGGACTTTCTTTGGGCCGCCAGATCCCCAATAATGACGTGGAGACTTATTATCAATTACAAAATTTTGGCCTTTAACCTAGGCTTGTCCCACCAGATCTTATAACTTAAATTAACCTGATTCTCTTCATCCTCATTCTACCATGTGGCATCACCTCTCTTTCATTCTGCATGCCAGACTTGCTCCACTTCTCATCTCCCATGCTCCTCTCTCCCCAGAAGTCCCACCTATTCTCTCCTGTCTAGCTATTGGGTGTTTAACTTTTTATTAAACCAATCACAGCAGTGTACAAATATCCCACAACAGGCCCCTGCTCTGTAGTCCAAGTTATTGAATCTTTGAAAGCCCTGGCTCTAAAGCAAGGATGTAGACAGCAGCTTCCTGTAAGTGGTGAGGTTTTGCTGAGAGTTCATGAGAAGATGCCAGACCAGTGCCTGTGTGAGTGAGTGTTTCATGAACAGGAGCCATTGTTGCTCCTCTTGTCTGTAATTGTTTGCTTTTGAAAAAGTACCTTGTTCTGTAGCTTCAGGCTCACCATCCGCCTGTCTCAGCCTCTTGAGGGCTAGGGTTATAGGCAGGAATTCCCTCTTCATCTTCCCATCTGTCAGCTAAAGTGAAATAAGATCAAGGGGCTCAGAAACCCACCCATCACTAGATCCTAACATCTCTGTTCCTTCAAGGAGTTCTGTGGAAGGACCTGGCCACACCTGTGTCTGTTCGTACTCCTGTGGGCGGGCAAGGGTCATTGTGCAGTATATTTTCTTTCTTTTCTTATTGAGTTATACATTTTCTCCACTCCCCTTTTCTCTTCCCCTCCCCCCTTCCACACCCCCTGCCCTCCATGCTCCCAATTTACTCAGGAGGTCTTGTCTTTTTCCCCTTTCTAGGTGGATCCATGTATGTCTCTCCTACGGTCCTCTTTGTTTCTCTGGGGTTGTAGCTTGTAGTCTGGTTGTCCTTTGCTTTATGTCTAATATCCACTTATGAGACAGTACATGTTATATTTATTTCTCTGTATCTGGGTTACCTAACTCAGGATGGCCTTTTCTAGTTCTGTCCATTTGCCTGCAAATTTCAAAATGTCATTGTTGTGCTGTACATTTTCTAAGAGACCCTGAGAGACAGAAAGCACAGATGGACATTTAAACAGAGGCAGACCATTCACCAAAGGGTGTGCTGTTTAGTGGGGAGATGGGGATGCAAGGCCATTCCTGGGAAGACAAAACATAATAACTGCCTTTGGAAATATGGCTTGCAGTTTACAGGAACCTGTTCCCCTCTCCTGACTTCTGAACTGTGCCTCAGCAAGCTGAGTGCTGGAATAAACAACATCTCATTTTTTTTTGTCCTGTGACTTAAATTCTGAGTCTGATTCGTATGTTTTGATTTTTAAAACTTATAGTGGCTGGGAACGGAGATGTGAGCTCAACCCTTACCACAGGTTTAAAAAAAAAAAAAGACAGAGATAAATAGATAAAAATAAATTAAGTGGTGGTACACCTTTAGTCCTAGCCCTAGGGAGGCAGAGGCAGGTGGATCTCTGAGTTCCAGGCCAGCCTGGTCTACAGAGAAAGGTCCAGGACAGCCAGGGCTGTTATAGAGATAAACCCTCTCTCAAAATAAATAAATAAATAAATAAATAAATAAATAAATAAATAAATGAAAAAAGGGCCTTTTCTTTTTTCATGTCTACATGTATCTACATACATGGTGTGCATGGCCAGCAGAATACATTGGAGTTATAGATGGTTGCGAGCTGCTGTGTGGTGCTGGGATCAAACCCTAATCTCCTGGAGAGCAGCTAGTGCTCTTAACCACTGAGCAATCTCTCCAGCTCCCACTCTTGGTTTGGTTCTGAAGCGGCCATGCTGCTTGACTAAAACTATGTGTTTGAAGAGAGCCGTGCCACCTCAGCTTTCCACATGTCCTCTATATCTTCTAAGGCTCGCTCATTTGCCTGGCTGATGGCGGGGCTCCTGTAGACAATAGGCTGTATCGTGTTCAGTCTTTGGTCACTGGCTTACTGAAAAATATTGTGGCTTTATAGATTCCTGACTTCCTTTCCAATATCTGTTTCTTCTGGTTCAGAGGACTTCATCAGTTCAGAATACAAGATCATTGCAACCACCTGGGGATAGTCACTCTCTACAGAAGAAGCAAGGAGACTCGGTTGGAACTGGCCCTGGCAGGTAGGGAGCCGGCTGTGGAGCACGGGCAGATGCAGCCTGCAGCATGATCCACTCACTGCTTGTTCCAGCCCTTGCTTTAATGCATTTGTGTTGGGAAATCCAGACATGTGAGAAGTCCTAAGGGGTTCTCTTTCAGACCAATGATTCATGGAACACTCTGTGGTTGTCTTAAGCCTGCAGGGATTGGAAAATTCATAGTTTTTCTGTCCAAAGATGAAACCATACTATTTCTATTCCAGCAATGTTTCAAGTAGTTTAGTTTCATGATCAGAACTAAAAAAAAAAAAACAAAAACAAAAACAAAAAACAAAAATAAAAATGAGAGTGAGGCTTCCAAGGGACTTAATATGTGGTTATGTGCAGTCTGTAATTCGGGGGGGGGGGGCAGTAGAGGTGTGCCACTAGGCCACAGAACAAAGGATTCAAGAGGCACCTCCTCAAGCCACCCAGGGAGGCTGGTGGGTAGATTCCAGAAGCCAACACAGCCACATTGTGGCCATGGCATGTGGCCAGTCCAAGTGTAGCCCCTCATCATGACCACGGCCAAGTCTGGCTTCCATGGCTTCCTGCTAAACCTTTCTCTATCCAGTGTTCTGCACTCTCAATTCTAGAGGCATTCACAAGCTGAAAGCCAGTAGATGTGAATATTTGGTCCCCAGCAGGGACTCGGGCCAAGCATAGTGGAGTCAATTAGGGACCACTTGTGGGTTCAAGTCATGAATAGGCCTTAGATCTGGTTAGTGTAACTCTCTTGAACAGCTCCCAGGAGTCTGTAATTGCAGGCCTTAAAGGAACAAACAGGAGCTCCATGGACCAAACCTTCAAAATCAAGTGTTCAGCCCCAGTCACAATGAAACCGGGTCATGGCATGTTTCATCATAGCATCTTCAAGCCTCTATGTAAAAAGTGACCATGTTTTACTTTGCACATGTAAAAGTGGCCCCTGGTGGCAGGAATTGCCATGTGGAGAGGGTGAATGTTTTCTGGGTAGCGTGGGTAGTGTGTCCAGAGGAAATTCCTGCTTCTTCTTGGCATGAACATTGCATTTCTTTAGGGAAATAGTCAGATGAGGCATAGTATTTTGTTGGGTCACAAGAGTGATTTTTTTGTAGCCTTGGCTGACTGGAACTCTATATGTCGACCAGGCAGAATCCTCCTGCCTCTGCTTCTGGGGAGTTGGGATTAAAGTCACGGGCCACCCCCCGCCCCCGCACCCCCAGGCTGGTCACAGGAGTGATACTTTGCATTGCACCTATGACTTTTGTCATCCAGCATGGGAGCTGCCTTGTCTCCCCAGATCTCTATCCCCTGGTTCACAAACAAGTAACAGGACAAAGCTTTTAGTATTGGACCTAACCAATCTTCTAGGTTGGTTCTGATAACATGAGACTAATAGAGTTATTTTTTTTCTGGGATCCCACAGTGGGAATCCACTGTTGGCTGAAATTCAAGGCCCAGCTCTTCCTGCCCCATCCTCAGGGAGTCCTGGAGTCTCTAAGGAGACTGGGGACACATTCCCAGCTGTGTCACAGATGAACACTGAACTCAAAGCTCTTTTGTTGCTTTTTCCTCAGTGTTAGTCAATTATATTTTTCTCTAGAAGAACTGTCTCTCATGGGCATGTGAGGTGACGATGAAAGAGACAGTGGGTGTCTCTTTCCTAGTCACAACTGCAAACAGGGCAGTCGTTGGTAAATGAGTGCTTGTCCCCATGCAGAGCCAGAACTCATCCCACAGCTACCCTGCCACCTGTATCCTTCATGCACTCAGAATGTTTGTAGGAGGCAAGATGGGGCAAGGCTCCTGTGTAAGTCACAACAGCCTTGGCATCACTCAGAAGGATAACAGTATAATACTTACTTGAATATGGGTGCCAGACAACATGCCAAATGAGCTATGGCTAGAAAAGGAAAATTTGCTTTCTTTGAACCAATTCAGCTCTGATTCTGAATCCTTAACTCTGCCAGCTGGCAGGAATTCCCACAACCACTGTCCTTGGGGCACTTTTTAATTTTCAATTTTTTTTTTTGAGCTAAGGCCTCTCTCTACATAGACCTGGTTGTCCTCGACTAGGCTGGCCTCGAATTCACAGAGATTTGCCTAGCCTCCTGAGTGTTGGGATTAAAGGTGTGTGCTACCACCACACCCTGCCTGATGTTCTGTCTCTAAAATCTGGTGTGGTGAGGTTGTCATCTGACCTCTACTCCCCCATACCACCACTAAGATACCCATTGGTCCAGCCACATTATCCACTGACCACATGACTATACTGTCTCCCTGTAACCTTTGACACATGACCATTCCTTTGGGGCTGCTTCCTCAATGCTCATCCACCTCTTGTCGGACTATCTTTGAATCACCAGCTCCCAAATAATGACACGGAGACTTATTATTAATTATGAAAGCTTAGGCATGTTTCCAACTAGCTCTTATAACGAATTAACCCATATTTTGAATCTACTTTCTGCCACATGGCTCAGTTACCTCTCCTCAATATGGCGTGTCCAACTTGTTCAGAGTCTGCTGATGAAATCTTCGTGCCTAGATGCCTCCTCCTCTTCCTCTCTCTCCCCAGAGCTCCTGCCTATCCTCTTCTGCTTAGCTATTGGCCATTCAGCTCTTTATTACATCAATCACAGCAAAACATCTCCACACAGTGTACAAATATCCCACAATGTTGGGAGAGATGTTGGGCTCCAGCCCCCAAGGGGTCTCTGTGAGTTGCTTGTCAGACAATAATCATAGGTGCATCCTTGCTGTACCCCACTGGCATCAAAACACAAGCTCTTACACCTGGGGTTTTTCCACTGTGCCAGAAGTCTTATATAAGGCTGCCTCCTTCCTGCAAAAAAAAAAAAAAAAAAAAAAAAAAACCACCACCACCAACAACAACAAAAACACAGATGGACACACATTCTCTTAGCACAAGCTACCGGACTGCTCAGGTTTTAATTAAATCTCCAGGCTTTTGCCTGATACTTGGACTTGGCTGTGGCTCGGACACCATGAGTGGAGGTTCCATTAGGCTTAGTCGTGGTGCAGATGACGTACCACAACACACTTCTGAGCTCCATAACATAGTCAGAAAGCCAAGGGGGCATTCTCCCCATGTCCCCCCCACACACACATACCTGCCCACCTATCCCACCCCACCCCCACCTCCACCCTTACCCCCATCCAGGACTTTTTTCTGCTCTCTCATCTTTAAATTCATTTGCCTTCTCTGGTGGCCTAATTGTACAATGACTATCCACGCTGAAAGGATACAGGCTTTTTCGGAAGCTAGGAATAGCCATGGACTTCAGACTGTTGTTGTTTTCTAGTTGCAAAGGCTCCAGAGATGAGAAATGCAGGAATGTCTGCAGCAGCTGAGGTGTGGGAAGAAAACAGTTTTATACACAGATTAAAAAAAAACTATTCCCTAAACAGTATAGTGGGACATCTATTTTCATTCTGTTAGAGAAAAGCAGTCTATTGAATCATAGTGGAGAGGTGCCCACTTGGAACCCAGCACTTGGAGCAAAGGCAGAAGCATCATGTTGAGGTTGAGGACATATGGGCCACAATAGAGTGTACAGCCAGACACTGTCCAAAAGCAAAAACCAGACAGATTTAAAAAGGAATCGATATGATTTAAAGTATTTGGGAGAATACACTGTGGATCTGAGTAGTGGGGCTTTGAGTAATCTTTGATTTGGGGGAGCCCTAGAGCCAGTTCTCAGCAGATATGGAGAGAGAACATATAGAAGAAAAGCCACAAATTAATATCACCAAAGAGGTTCTCAGCCCAGGCCTTATCTGCACACCACAAACAAGGACACAGACTTCGAGCACTGCCTGATCTTCATTAGCGGTAGAGAGTCCACTGTTTGCCTTAAGAACCATCCCCCTCTTTGAATGGAAGTAGAACCAGGGCCTTATATGGCCCCCCAGGGGTAGGTTCCTTACTTAGACATTTGTCCAACTGCCTTGCTTCCTGATTGCCACATGGTGTCACTGTTAGAACTTGACCTTGCATAGTCCAAACTCAGTATGTATCCATCCCTGCCTGGACTTGGGTTCCTGAGGGAAGTCAGTCCTGTGCCCCCTGCCTCCCCAAGAGTGAGCTAGCTTGAGCTAGCTTAATCCAGGTGACACCCCTGCCTGCTCCACATGTCTATCCAACACAGCTGGCCTAGATGTCTGCATCTGGACTGGTTCCAGGCCCATCACTTCCTGGGGCCTTTCTCTCCTTAGGTACCAACAACTAAGAATGCTAACCCTACAAAATGCAGCTGATCTTGCCACATAACCTTCATAGAACAGCAGAACAATGCAGCTGCAGTGGAGGAGGAAGGGCAGAAGTCCCAGGGCTTCTTTGGAGAAACTTCCACTCAGGTGAAGCCAGGATCTTTGACTATGCCACAGAACAGAGTTCAGGATTCAATATGAAGCAAAGTTAGAGTTTAGTGAGAAAAAGATTTTAAAATAGATTCAAGGGTCTGAAGAGATGGCTCAGCAGTTAAGTGTGTTTACTGCTTTTGCAGAGGACCAGAGCTCAGGTTCCAGCACCAATATCAGGAGGCTCACAACTGCCTGTAACTCCAGCTCCAAGGTAGCCAGCACTCAGGTCTGTCTTCTGCTGATACAAGCATCCACATACATATACACACATACACACACACATAAGTAAAAATAAATCTTTTTAAAGATTAAATAAACTAGATTTAAGCATGTGTGTTATAGAGAAGAAAGATGCTCATGAGAGAAACAGTGCACATTCAAGACACAGAGACAGGATTCTCTGGAGGGACAGGTGCATATGTGACCATCTTAACACTAGTTACATCGGTAGATATTGGTGGCTTCTGAACTCATTGTTCATGGAGTGTCTTTTATAATTTCCTTATTTATAGGGGTGTAGATGTGCCATGGTACACTTAGGAAGGTCAAAGAACAACTTGTGGGAACTGCTTCTCTCTGACCATATGGTTCTCAGGGATCAAACTCACTATTCTCAT